TGGGGGGTCCGGGGGGTTGAAAATACAGCATAGAGAATTACCGTTATCTCCGAGGCAGAAGAGGAAGAGGGGAGATAAGAAACTGCAGCAGCTGGGAGAGAATCAGGTGTGCGAGAAGCCGTATTTCAAGGGGGTCGGGGTTGTACATTCACTGGATATTCAGCGCGAGCTGGCCCTACTTGTCTGTCACATGGGGTTCAGGGTTTTTTTCTGTCTCTCTCTTTGCTCTACCCTCTCCCCTTCCCTTTTTTCCTGAGGTCTGCTCCTCCGATAGAGGTATTGTGCGGGCTCTGCTGTATAGAAAGCTCATCAGCGGCGTTTGCCTCTTGGGTGTTATCGGCTAGTAAGGTAACTGCGCGCTTATAGACTGCATGCAGATAATAGTGGCAGAATAAAGAAGATAAAGGGGGACCTCTTCTCATTAACAGCTATCTCAGCCACTGCAGACACTGCCAGTATTGAGTGCTTAGTATGCTGAGCATAAAAAAAGACAACGAATAAAACTGGGAGGAGAGCTCAAATGAATGAGGGAGAGGGGTGGTTGTTGTAGGGTGAGCAGGAGGGACCAAGCGTATAGGATGAGATGCATGGAATATGAGACGTGGATGCTCACAGAGATGCGAACACGCTCAAACAAAAGCTTATGTTTTCCTGGCTTTCTGAGGAGACGCCACTAAGGCCGTTTTCTACATGCAGACTTCATCTGGCATGAGAATAGATGTTTATGAGCCTTATTATGAATGTTCTTGTTCGCTTTGTTGGCTGTTTAATATCTGCATATCCCTCATGAAGTCTGGGAGAGGTATAAAGGACACAAGAACATCATTCATCATAGCAGCACATAGATCTTCTCCAGCACCTTTCCTTTTTTTTAATGTTTTTTTTTATAGGAGGCAGTGGTGGCACAGGTGGCGGTTCTGGCTCATATTGACCACCCTGAAGTTATACTCTCAGTGACCAAATAAAAAAATATGAACTGATATGATACGATATATGATGATATGATATGATATGATATGATATATGATATATGATATGATATGATATGATGTGGTATGGTATGATATGATATTATTCAGGGGTACACATATGTTTTTCGGTCTTGTTCTTATGAGAGCACCTGGAGATTTGGTCTGGTGCTCACACTGCACATAGTGCGTTATTATATTAAATATAACTTAAAAAAATAATAATTGACAATAGTATTATTGCACTTTATTTAGTTAATTTTTCAAAATGATAAATAAGGTGTGATAATACTATATATATAAAAAAAAAAAACTTAACCAAGAAATTAGCAGCTGGGCGGGATTTTTACTGAACTGGTTTGAGGGAAAAAAATTTGTGAATGAAATGCGGCAGTTTTGCATTTTGCTCTGAAACCAGCAGCGCATAGCCTAGATTTATGCTTTCAGTTTGAATGGAAATCTTATACAGTATTACAGTTAATCGAGTTAAAACACTGATTATGCATTAACAGCTGTCAACCATGTGGGTATGCAAATGAGCGATTTCAACTTTTTTTTCAAGCATTTTTGTTATTTTGGTCGTACATGCGCACCACTTATGTGTAGCCCCTGATTATATTATTATATATTGGTGCAGTATTCATTTAAAATGCAAGGAATGCTAAATGAATACTGCTTGCAAATAAATGAATACTGCATGCAAAATTGCAACTGATCATCATTCATTTTTATTGTACTGAAAAGAGCAGCTTTGTATTATGCAGGTAAATCATACTAGATACTAGTTTGGAATCTATGAAATGTGGAATCAGTTATCTTATAATCATTAAGATACTATTATAGTTTTTATTAGTGTTTTGAATCAGATTTGAATTTTATATTTTCTTTTTTATTTTAGTTAAAGTTTGAATGATTTTGTATATTTTAGTAATTTTTAGTAGTTTTTGTTGCTTTCTCGTATATGTTTATATAGTTTTTATTAATATTTATTTCAGTTTTAGTTACAGATATTTTAGTACATCAACTAAATTAAAATGAGACATTCCTTTGGAAACTAGCTGAATTAAAAACTTGTTTATATATTACTTTATTTCACATTTCATTTTTATATATAAATTCACTCTCTATATATATATATATATATATATATATATAGTATATACCTGTATATGTGTGTGTTTTTGCAGGTCAGTGTCCAGATACAAACCAAAGGGCTTTATTATTTTCCAGAGAGCAACATTGCACCTGAGACAGGCCATTTCCCTTCGAGCATTGGCAGTGGAGGGGAGGAGGTTAGTTCTGGTGGAGCTCTTCTGTACAACACACACACACATACACACAATCTCTGTCGACAGTGCTGGCAGATTAGAGCCATTTCTGAAATGCATGGAGCTGTCTTTTTTTGAAAAGCCTTTCAACAGTTACACCAGAGTTAAAAAAAAAAAGAACCATGAAAGGAGCAAAACAAAACAGTGAATATGTCCCCCCACCTTCCCGCAGAAGCCACAGCACAGTAACAATTAAAGAAAATTACCAAATTGGACAGCAGAATTATGCGTTATCTTGGAGCTTCTGTGTGTGTGCGTTTCATGTGTGTATGTGTGTTTTTCTTGAGCTCTAAGGATGACCATTGAGCTGTAAATAAAGCAGAAGCCCCCCAGCCTGCCAGTAAGAGGAGACAATCCTGCGTTGCTCAGGCAGACATGTTCCTGATAAACCGTTGCTCTCTCGCAGGCTGTACAATAGGGCCAGGATTCATTTGCATGACACAATTGGCTTGCCATGCTGATGTGTTGCAGCTAGACAAGTGTAGCATTACGAAGAACAAGTTACCATGGGGAAGGTTAATGCAGACAATAAGAGAAGCAGATAATGGGAATTTGGCTCCTGTTTTTCAAACCTCTTATCTGGGAACCAAGTAAAATCGGTCTGCTTTGAATACGGGCGACCGCTTTAAAGGGCCAGTTCCCCATGTTCACACAAGCATTAGGAATTATAATTTATTCACTCCATGGTGTTTATTTACATATCCAAACATGGATTTACTGCGCAATGTAATGTTCTCCAGGTATGTGTTGTGTTTTTGGATTTGAGACTATCTTCATGTTAGATCTTATTCTGTATCAGAACAATTAGGCCTTCTTGTCATAACAGCATATCCGTAATGGGTTATTAGCTAACATATGTCACTTCAAACATGTGATATTGCTGTAATATGGTTTGTAATTGGTGGAGTTTTTGGTGAATGTTTTTCTTTCCCATCTCGTTGGGTCCAGAAAATTGGAAATTATTTGTGTAAAATTTGTAAAAAAATCCCTTTATTCACTTTATAATTCCCTTCCAGGTATACTTTGAAGAATAGTTAGTATTGTTTTATGATGGTAATCTAAAAACGAAGCCCCTAAAGGGACATTAAATAGAAAAATTAAATAGGAGGATTTTTTTTTCAATACTTTTGCATTCTCTCACAAAACTTGAATTCCCCTAAGTAACTTTGTTTCCTTGCAAGCCTTTTGAGATGGAAATAATATGAGGTGGGAGGAAAAACTATATTTTTTGCTTTTGAAAGCAAACTCAATGTTTCTCTGGGAAATGCAATACTTTTGCGAGAGAACGCAAAAGCATTGAAATATAATTGTTCATTCTGTATCTAAATGATAGTAAGTAGAAAAAGATAAGTATTTTTTTCAGATATTTCAGTATTTTCAGAACACATTGACAATCTAAAAATCAATTATATAATTTAGCATATTGCAAATTGACTAATTTTAATACAAAGTTGTTTTTACAATGTCATGCTTATATTTTTGAACTGTTACTGCTATTTTAAGCTGCCTTTTTATTTTATGACAAGGTCCCTCGCAAGGGGTATCATCATTTGGGGGGGATCTTGAAAAGTTTGAAAACCCCTTCTTTAACCAATTGCTATGTGTGAACGTGAAAGGGTAGGTAGGGGTGGTCTCCAAAAGGCCTGCCCCTCCATTCAGCATGCGCCCGGATCCACCCAGCAGGTAAAGGCTCAATTACCATCCTTCAGCAGACCCCTAACAAGGCGACAAAAGGCCCTAATTTTTAATTTAATATTTGGGCTGCTGAGGAGTAGGGGTAAAATAAGGGGGGAGGTCGTCCGTCTGGGTGGAGCCTCCCACCGTGGCCTCCAGATGGGCCAGGCTGGCAGAGAGGTTGTTAAGAGCGAGGATTGAGTACCTTACATAGTGAATTAAGTTTGAACCCTGGGGTGTCTGGGCTCTACAGAGAGAAAGACGGTCCTATTTCAGCGATGCTGTGCTTTAGCTCTGCTTCCCTGTCAAGTTCCCTTCAATCCCCAATATCATGACATTTAAGCTATTCATTAATTAGAGACCTGCATGATGAGTTTTTTTTTTTTGGCTCTAGAAATAAATAAAAAGTGATGTGACCCCTCCTCCTCTTTGTTCATTATGAAGAAGAATTATGAGATGTTTTACACTGTATCGGTGCTCTGGAAGACAAGGATGTTACTACCTGTTGCCTGTTGCCTGTCTGTCTGTCTGTCCATCCATCCATCCATCCGTCCGTCCGTCCGTCCGTCTGTCTGTCTGTCTGTCTGTCCGTCCGTCCGTCCGTCCGTCTGTCATTCTAGCTATTGTTGTCATTCTCTCTTTCTCTGATATTCTATCTTTCTATCATTCTGTCATTCGGTCTGTCTGCCCTAAATTCACTTTATTTGAGAGATTTAATTATTACAGTGCTTCAGATGTTCTAAAATACAAAAAATAAACGTCTTTTGATTGTGACTATATTCCCAACATAGCTTTATTTTGTTCTTAAAAAATATTTTAGCTTAAAAAGTCAATTTAAAATAAAATTCTACCTACATTTTGTGTTTATGTAAAGTATTATTGAAAATGACATTAATGTCGTCACAATGTATAAAATCTAGGTCTTTAAATAGTCTTAATTCCCTTGTTCTGTTTTTTATTTATTTATTTATTTATTTTTTATTAGGACAGACACTCAGCAGAATATACACGTTTATCTATTCAAATTACAAGTATATGAATTCAGACTACTGTGACTTGCAGTAATGTTGCACTTTATCAAAATGTTCTAACTTTAATGGCACCATTACCTGAGAATGACCCATAAACATATGCTTTTATATACAGTATGCATGTGTGTGTGTGTGCATGTTTGTGTGTGTCTGAAGGAATGGATTACTAAAAATAGAAAAGGGATATATTTCCTCCTGGGGATGACACCCCATTTGTTTTCATTTTGTAGATGGTCGTCCGTGCCAGATTACGTTGTTTTCCCTCCCGCAGGGCTTCTCTCTGGTCCTCTTACCCCCCACCTCCTAATAATGCTCCTCCTATTATTCCCTAATGGATCGAGGACAAAAACAGTGACCTACTAAAGACCAGACATAGAATTCACCTGTGATTTATCTATTTGCTCTCACACTCCCTGCCATAGTCAGGGGCACAAATCATCTGTTTTGCTCCTATTGTGGTCTCTTCAGTCCAAGTCTATTTCTTCAACACTTAAACTAGGCCTTGTGTGCTTCATGAAAGTGAAGCTTAAGAAATTTACATTCTAGGGTAGAATGATTTTTATGTTTTTGCTTTCTTAGTTACTTACATATACTGTGTAAGGATGTTTTATTTATTTATTTTTTGTTCATTTTATTTTTTAATTTTTAAATACCCTTTATATTTTAAATACCAATCCACTTTCAAGAAAGTTTCCTTTGTGTGATCCTCAGGGTATCAGAAAGAGGAGAAGACCACCATCAAGTGCACAAAGGAGCCTCCAAGTGAACTTAAGAGTCAGAAGAGTTTTTTTTGTATTTTTGGAGAAAGTCAGATGGTACCCTGTTTGACAATATTTTAAGAAAACGCTGATGTCTATTTGGGATAAGATTGGAAGAGTTTTCATTTAAAGGGAATTTAATTAAAAAGCTGGAAAGCACCAAAAAGTGCTGGAATAAGTAGGACGATATGAAACCGCCAGCAAATGGATTCCTCAAACCCACTCGAGGGAAACCACACAAGCCACTTAGCAAACGAATAACTTTGGTTCTGTTTTCACTTTCACATCACAACTGAATGTATTATTTAACGCACGTACTTTGATGTATTTTTTTTCTCTCCGCTTGTTTTGCGTCAGCTGTTGTGGCGCTGGCAGAGATTGCCTTGTTAAAGATTAATAAGACCAGTGGCGTGTGATTGTTTTAAGGTTAGAAGCGGCAGTCATTCGCTCTGTTAATGCCGTATGTGTGTGTGTGTGTGTGTGCAGGTGCGGGTGCGTGTGAGCCGGGATATTGATCGCCTGTGTGTCTGCTCAAAGAACGTTTGCTCAGTCAAGCAGTGAGAGGCAGAAAAAAGTGAGGTAGAGGAGAGAAAGCACGACTAGTTTGGCTGACCTCGGCCCACAATCCAACACCCCAGATGTATTTTGGCTATGTCAGCACATAGCCTCATCTTTCATGTGCAGGAAGTGTTACACCTCAGCATGCTTGATGTGTGTGTGTGTGTGGTCCACCTAATGCTAATCACAATCTGGTGTTAACACTTGACAGAGACATAGTGCTAACTATTTAAGTATCTTGGATACGCAGATGTCCAGCTTGACTCAACTCACATGGACATATTTCTCCTGTTTTTTTTTATAGTGCTTCCCTGGGGAACTTGGCATTCTGGCCGTGACCCATATTGACACCTTTGAGCCATTGTGAGAAGCGTTGCTTTATGGGACATGTACGCATGCATTGACCTCAATTCTCCTCACACCAGCACTGTTCGACCTCCTTTTTTGTTGACGGTGATTCATTTTAAAAGCCATTCCCAAATGTACAATTAGCATACTAGCTCTTACGGAGGTTATACCCTATTGCTGGTTATTGACCATTAAGCTGTCCATTAACACGTTGCTGCTTCTTCCACAGACAGGTTCCTTCTCTCTTCATCAGCCCGAATGTTGAATGAACTGATTTATGTCACAATCTCATTTTGGAGTGTTTTTATATGTGCGTTGTAAACCTTTAATGGCTAATGTGTTAACAATATCCCAGATCAAAACTCTGGGTGCTACACACATCAGCATCGCACTGGGATTAATTGAGTCTCTTTGGAAATCTCTGCGCACTTGGGAATAGCCATCTCTCCAATTGCCACTGTAGTTAACGATAGAGGTTTAGGGCTATTTTATCTCAAATTTATCAGGAGGGAATTGGGCCGAGGTCATTGTCGGGCAGCCATAACCCTTTGTGCCGCCTCTATTGTGGTTTGAAGATAAAGTGCTGAAAGACAGGCGGCCGTCATCCCCCTCTTCAGACTCTAATGCCTGCAAAGACGAAGCGTGCATTTGCCTCGAGTGCACGACGCGGGAACGTGGTTTCAAAAAAACACTCAATGAAGACTAGTTCCATCATCACGCTCCAGGATAAAAGGCGTCATTTCAGAGGTTTTCATTGCCCGTTTAACTATCCTTGTTCCCTCTCTCTCTAATATCGCCTCTAAATTACCATCTCAAATCTACACACAATTGCCACACTAGAGACGTCTGCACTGGAGACAGCCGTCCACCCACCACCCCTCAGGCTTTGTGGCATTTTACAAACCCCAACCACGTTTGCCTGCAAATTTCCCTCGTATTAGATTTGTAAATCAAAAACCAATACATGACATGCAAGAATTAATCTGTTTTATATACCTTGGTTACATTTTTCCTGCTGCACATTTGGAAGATTTAGAATGTATTTGCACCTGCTGGTTTCAGCCATTATATGCATCAGTTCATACATCTATTTGTGAGGCTATAAAACACGCATTGACTACCCATGTAAATTGTGTTCCTCACAATAAATTATATGCATATTTGCAAATAAATAAATAAATAAAAATACATGACTGCTGTCGGTCCTCCCCTGTGTTTTTGGAATACTAATAACAGCTGGGCGAGACGCATTTGCTTCCTCAGTGTTTTTCTATCTCAGTGTGATTTGGATTGAAGTTTGGGTTTTTAGCATTTCATTCCCCCTGTCTCCCCGTCTGCAGTGTCTATTTATTTGAAGCGAGTGATGTTCTTACTGTAGCGAGGTGGTTGAAAATGCCATTGACCCGCACGCACCTACGGTTCAGCAGCTGATTTCTGTAGCGCCGGCACGCGCTCTCTCTCTATGTGGCTCCCTATGAGATGCCTCTGCTGGTAGATGTGTACATTAATCCAGAATCTAGTTGTGTATAACCAAGTATCAATCACATTCAGCCTGGAGAGATGAGTGTTAGTGATGCTAGCCAGCATTCAACACTGAAGTCAAAGCAGGACACTTGGATGAATCTTTTTTTTTTTTGATGCAAAGATTTGTCTTTTTAAAATGACTTTTTGAAATCGCTTGACTGAAATAAGGGGTGTCGTATGGTTCTTGGGTTTCACTCTGAGTGTGCAATATAAATCTGCAGCAGTTGACTTTTCTGTAACCCTGCTGATAAATAAGATTAGAGCTGACTGACTCCATTCTAGAAATAGGTCCCATCTTCATATTTCTCCTGATGACCTTACCTATCTGATTCGCATTATCTTTCAGGCCATGATGTCACCAGAATTACCAGTGTCAGATTTTGGGCTACTTAGCAAAACCACACATAGGCTTTTTGGATAATTCCTTTCTTTTGGTGCTGGGCTGGTGTAATGACTGTATAAACAGAATAATGAACTCTGCTGGCTGATGACTGACTAAGATGTAGAAATGCTTTCACATATGTTCCAGAGTGCCGTTTCACACAGTAGAAGTGCTGTGTTTTTAGGCTGGTTTAATTTAACTTAATTTTAAAGTCTTACAAGATATTTGTTATGTTCACAAAAATGTTATATATCATGTTTATGTATTATATTATATTATATTCAGAAATAATACATGAATATTTAAAAGTCTTATATATTTAAAGATGCCATTTAAAGTTGTCAAATATTTGTATTATTTTAAAAATTAAATACATGATTAAATATATATTATATTACATTTAAATAAAATAATGGTAATATTTGACTAATATATATACATACAGTACATACATACATCATCAAATATTTGCATTATTAAATGTATATATATATATATATATATATATATATATATATATATAAATATAT